AGTTCAGTATTTTCTGTAGAATACATGAGATCAGCTGATAATCTGCAACATGTGATGATGTTTATGGTTCTTAATAATAAAAGTAAAGTTTATTACAGAACATGTTTAGATGAAAAGCTTTCATTTTTGGTTTAAAGAAGATTTCTGTTGGTTTCATTTTAATAATATATGTAGATCAAATAACCTTGTCAGGTTTTTCTCATCTAGTTATATTTTGCGTTAAGTGTAGGAGAAAATATTTTTATTCCAGGTATATAATCATAGCCTGGCCCTTGCCTTCCTACCCACTTCCACTCAATTCTAGTTTCCCTCCACTGGATTTCTCCCACTGACAGGATTTCTTCGGTAGAGTCTTGGTACTTCTCTCCTGTCAGTAGGGTTGTTTACAGCACACGTGATTTCCAGTTAGCTTCTTAGCTTAGCCTCCTTCACAGTGGAGCTGGCACACATACGTCGCAGCCAACTGATCCAATCATTTTAAACTTCAGCAGAGGCCACGCCTCCAGCAAGAATCACATCTGTAGCAGCGAGTCCAGACCCTCGTACGAAGCACAGTGAAGGACAGGGTCTGGTTTTTACCAGGTTATGTATTTCTATCACCTGCCCAAGTTTCAGACTGAAATCATCTTGTGTTGAGAAATGTAGCCAATTTAATCAAATCCTAAAAGCAGACATATGATTAAAAATCCACCTTTTAAACTGTTAAATACTTTTAGTTGTGTACTTGAGTCTGTTGAGGCAGAAACGTTTGTTTCAGTCTCTTGAGGTGCTTTTATATCTTTATAATCTGTATGAGTCAGGTTTTTCAACCTGTTCAGTTCTCTCTTTTCCATGATGTTTTCTGAAATATTACATCAAATTATTTGTGACAGAACTAAATAAGGTCTGAACTTGACCAACTACAGTTTGGTGTCTTCATTCTCCTCTGGTTCTGGGTCAGACTCTGGTTCTGGGTCAGACTCTGGTTCTGGATCAGACTCTGGTTCTGGGTCAGACTCTGGTTCTGGGTCAGACTCTGGCTCCAACATGTAAGGCTGGATGAACTTCTCTTGTCTTATCTTTGTAAAAACAAAGTTTCTGTGCAGCTATATAACCGTAAACTCCTCTATCAAACTGGAATTGGGGCTTGTGGAGTTACAATAAGGAGTTCAGATGAAAGCTGTTCCACTTTTCTATAGACCAACTGAAGATTTAAATGCAGGATCTGTTCACTAAAACAAACCTGATCACCTGTTGTTTGTTACTGTGAGACCTCACAGGTTGTGTTGTGAAGGACTCTCAGCTACAACCACATTATTCAGAATTGTTGACACTTGATCTTGAACTGGGTTAGCTCCAACAGTTGATGAGACATCATCTCATGAATGCTTCATTCAGATGTGTTCATGTTAGGGTTGGCCGTAATCGTATCGTGTGCAATTAATCGTCAGAAAAACATTAATCGATTATTTTTTGGCACTTGATGATCAATACGATTAATACCACCAGGCAGACTGACTGGAGATTTCCCCGGTCAGTCCGCTCGGTGCTCCTCTCTGCTTCAAATATGATGAACATTTAAACAAAAGTTATGTAATTTATTTATCTATCAACACAATTTAAAATTTGATTTATAACCTGAAGTCTGTAATTTTGACACAGTTTGGAACAGCTTTGAATGAAGACCAAATCTTTCCCACTACATTGGTCATGTGACCAGGACATAAGGGTGTCCAGGGACTCCAGGGGATTAATTGTCAAATTAGTCGTTATCGGCTAAATACCACGATTAATCGTGATTAATTTTTTTGCCAATATTGCCCAACCCTAGTTCATGTGATATTTTGCTAACAGACAGTGAGCTGTCCCAAATGCAGCAGTTAGTTGTTGATGCTCAGCTGCTGACTCAGCAGATTGAAGCTCAGGGTCTGTAGAGAACTAGTTTCTTATCCTGGACTCTGATGAAGACACAAAGCTGCTGACTTGACTGTTTTTCTCTTGTGGACAGATATTTTGTCAAAGTCTCGTGGGGTTGGACTCTGCTGCTGCTGACGCCCTTCATCCTCCTGTCCAACTCGTCCTTCAGCAGGAACGTGTCCTTCCTGGCGTGCCGCTCGTTGTCTCTGGCGGTGGCGACAGCTGTGTGGTACGTCTGCACAGAGACCTTCTTCTACATCGAGGATGTCACCGGAGCTTGTTATGAGAGCAGCTCTTTGCTCCTCACCAACCTGGACTTCCCCAGCAAACAGGCCTGCAGACGGGCCGGTTTGCACTGGAGCGGGTATGACGTCTCGGGCCACTCCTTCATCCTGACCTACTCGGCCCTCCTCATCGCGGAGGAGACGTCCCCGATGGCGTCCCTGAGGACTGCCGCTCTGTCTCCACTGTCCAGGACGTCCCTGGGCCTGCTGTACGTGGCCCTGAACCTGATCACGCTGCTGTGGCTCTGGATGTTCCTCTGCACCTCCGTGTACTTCCACGACCTGTCCCACAAGCTGCTGGGGACCCTGTGTGGCCTGCTGGGCTGGTACCTGACGTACCGGTTCTGGTACCTGAAGCCGCTGTCTCCTGGACTCCCGCCTCAGCGCCAAACTAAAGAACAGAAACAACTCGCCTGAAAACACCAGCCTCTGCAGCTGTAGAGAACCGGGTCCAAACTGGTACTGAGAGCTGTTCTTCCCTCCTCAGACAAGTTCTGTTCGATATGTCCTCTATAGTGTCCTCTATAGTGTCCTCCACAGTGTCCTTCACAGTGTCCTCCACAGTGTCCTCCACAGTGTCCCTCCACAGTGTCCTCCATAGTGTCCTCCAGTGTTCAGCAGCTGTCCTGAGGGACGGGCTGCAGACAGACTGACGGGTCAGGGAGGCCAACATCAGTTTTTACTTTGGTTTGATGGAAACTGACAGGAAACAAACACCTGGACTGTTTTAGCACTTATCTGATCCACTAAAATAAAAGAATAGATTTAATTAGAAAGTCATTCTTATGGATCAATAAAGTTCTATCTTATCTTATCTTATCTTATCTTATCTTATCTTATCTTATCTTATCTTATCTTATCTTATCTTATCTTATCTTATCTTATCTNATTATATTATGTATTCTTTGTTAAAAATGTGTGTACATACTGTAACACTAACAAAATGATCAAATATCTAACTTATTATTAGTGGGGGGAAAACATTTCATATGTTTGCTTTGTTGTGTAAAACGTCATATGTGTCAGGGCCTTAAATACTCATTACATGAATTTATCCACATTTATTCCTTCTTTTCTTCCTGGGTGACTGTGTGAGGCAGGGGACGGGTCCAGGTCCAGGTCCAGGTCCATCACAGGGACACGTAGAGACAAACGTTCACACTTCAGGATTACTAACGAAACTAACCTGCATGTGTTTGATGTGACAGAACATTTAAACTCTGCTGTGCTGCTGAACAAACCTATGATTATTTCTTATAGCACTAATAAGAAAGGCATCAAATACAGATGAAACTTTCTATAAAAAAGTTTTATGTTCAAACTGGTAAAATTCTGCAAAAGTCACAGTTTGTTGAATTGTGTTTCTGGCAACAACTAAGAACAAATGGATTCTGATGTAAAGTTTGTACACTCAGATTTGTGTAGTTATTTAAATAAGCTGGTTGTATTTTGTGTTGACTGTGTGGCGTTAAAACTAAAACATCTTTGAGTTTTGCTTGAATAAAAAAATTTCAGTCACTTGTTTGGTTTCATTATTTATTTGTCATCGATGGCAACTGAAGAAATTAAGGCTTATGAACAAACATCATAAGAAGCACCATAAATAAATGCATATATATAGAAATATAAAAAATAAAAAGTTACAAAATATTAGTGAAATCTAATGGTCACAGGTCAACACTAGGGTTTCATGTCTTCTTCAGTGAGGTCAGGAGGAGTGCAGTGAGACAACAGCTGGAGCAGGACAGATGTGCTGCAGAAACAAACTCGTGCTCACATCAATCTTTAAATCTGGTTTCCAATCCAAGCAGTAAAACTGGGGGTTTGTTGCTGCACGTCCATTTGCTTGTTTAGATGTTTTCATTTGTGCTATTTATTAATCAGCGAGTTAAAACTTTGAGAGTGATCTGCCACTTCCTGTTTACTCTGTGTACAGAACCTGAAACTGAACAGCTGTTTCATGAGAATCAGCTGCAGAACTGTGCAAAAGTCCAGAGGATTCCCTCAGCTTTAAAATGCTCTTCTGCAATAATCCTATTGTCTGGATGATTTTCAAAATATTTCAACTTGAGATGTTTTTCAGTCCAGTCCTTGTTCATTTCACTCATAGACTATTAATATAATTATAATAAAGATTATATTATTCTCCTGGATGATGAGGTGTGCTCTTCAAAAATCTACTTGCATAGAGAATCAAAGAAGAAATGTCAGCTGTGAGCTGGAAAAAGCTGATCTAATGTTAACAGCTGATGGGTCACCTTCTGTCTCAAGTTCTGACTAATATTAAATCATATTCATATGTTGTAATCTTTTTCCAGGTTAGGGCTGTATTGATGGTGTTCAGATTTTGTGCAGCTCCTTCCTTTTTCAAGTTGTGATAAAACTATTATTTATATTTAAAAATACAGACATTTTCTGGACGTTTCCGCTGGCTCCTTCAAACCCCACCCAAAATAGTTAATCTGGCTAATCCCATCTTTAACAGGCTCCTCCCACTAAGGTCAAACAGACCAATCATGTCTTGGACAAACTCTTGCCACTCAACAAGACCTCCCACTTAGTGACTGCAGAGACTCTTCCCTCCTCATGATGTGTAAAAGGTCATGTGACACCTTGATGGTGTGTGGGTGAGTAGGCGGGGCCTAARACCCCACATCCCTGCTTCAGACTCTGGCTGTGTCTCAATTCATGGGCTGCATCCTCATGAGCATGTAGCCCACCTGGGCCACGCTGGCCATGTCCTTCCAGTCCAGCTAGGCTGCATGAAGCTGCTGTGAGATGAGACGATCTAGCCTTAGCTTGATGTAAGTTTGCTGACCATTACCATACCCTGTCACCATAGGCTGTGTACAAAAYGACCGGCCGGGTCCTCCGGAGGACCCAGACTACCCTGTTGAGGTGGGCCGGGTCCTTGGTAGACCGGAAAAAAAGAGGCTGTGAATTTGGAAGGTCTAGCCTCCCCTCCACCCCGGCGTACGTCATGTCACCTAGAAACTGTGACGATGCTAAACAGATGCAAAAATAGATCAAAAATARAAAAATATCAATACATTAGCATTATTAAAATCACAAAACTATAAAATTAACTTAAAGGTAACATGAGAAGAACTAATTGACCCGCTTAGGTTCATGTTTATTTCGCATTTTTTATGACAAAATTAATACTTAAAAACACATTTATACAAATGATAAAAGTATTAGAATTACAACCGCTAAAAACTTAAATTTTTATATCGCCATGTTTTTATTTAAAACGTATTATTTTCTCTCGCTTTGTCCGCCATTACTAGCATTAAAAAAATCTCTGGTCAGGCCGCAATGCATTATGGGATACGCTGGGCCGGGAAGGATCCATCAGACTAGTCCTTCGATTCGGGCCAAAGGAAGGACGTATTTGTCGGCCACATCGGAGGAGTCTTCGGTTTGGGACGTCCTTCGTCGCGGCGCTGTGACGTATGCAGCTGATTAATGCAGCCTTCTGAGGACCCAGCCTGCTGTTTTGGACACAGCGATAGTGATTGGTTTCACGACTTAAAATGCGTTGGGACGTGTATTTACACATCTTTTTACTGGAAGAATAAGTTCACAGTTAAAACATAACATGTAAATATATTTAAAAAAAACAATAATTTGGTTTTAGCTCCAGTTACATTTAATTTACCATCTTATGACCAGTGGTGGGCACAGTTCCCCTAAAGCACTAATAGGGGAACTAATTTCCTGATTAGTGCTTTAGGGCTTTTGCTAATTTTAAAATTCATCAGTGGATTAGCACTTGCTAAATTTAGAAGCCTATATATCAATGTTAATGTTACCAACTGAGGGTGAAAGCTGCCAATCATTTTGTTCATATGTGTCACTGATCCACCAGGTGACAATATATGAATATAAATACAACTGTGTAATGTCATTGATAAGAATTAAGAGAGTAACATTGCAACATGTGACTCATGTTGTCTGTTGAAGAATGTTCCTGGGTTGACTGGGTTATTTTAGTGCTTTAGTTTYAGCTTTTGCTAAAACTTTCAGTGCTTTAGTGCTTTAGAATTAGGGGACCTAAATATGTGAATTAGTGTTTTAGGGCTAGTGGAACTAATTTTTAGATTAGTGCTGCCCACCACTGCTTATGAAGTTAAACAGCTCAGATGGCAAACTTACATTTAAAAACTAATTATTCAGTCTGTGGTGAATTTCCAAACTACGGCGACTCATTAAAATAATAAAAACTCCACCGTCTTCATTTCTCTGTTTAGTTTGCTGTTGGCACATTGAAWCCTGGGATGTCCTCAGCCAGTGAGGATACTCGGTGCCTCCTTGATTTTCATGATTTTGTGGGCCTCACGAGGAGAAGCCTTTGAACTGGGACAGTACTCGGCGCGGGGCAGTGACGTAAGCGGCAGACAAATGTACACCCATGAGAACCCAGCCCATGAACTGAGACACAAACTGGTTCCAAAAATACAACACAGCAGCTTCCGTGAACTGGGCCCTGCTGGTTTATAACACACATCGACACGTTCAACCTTTAGCTTTAAAAACTAAAAGTATTTTACTGAAATGATCAAGCACTGGACTGAAAATAAGTCTTTACAAAACTTTAAACCACATTCAGAACTGCTCCTACTGTCTTGGTTCTGGTTCATTTAGTCACAGCTCTGAGGGGAGAGAACCAACAGAACCTGTAAAACTCAACATATTGCAGTTTAGGAATAATTCAGACTAAAAACATGAGGGGTGGCTCAGGATTTTTCCACAGCACTGTATGAGGCGGAGCGTGGACACTACGATGAAAAACAGCATTTATTTATCGTCTTTGGTTCAACGTCATCTGCCAAGGCTGAGAGCTCTGCTACAGACTCCACACTTTGTTTCTGTGGCAGCACCGAACAGGGCTATTATCTTTGTTTCCAGGTGTGGGGAGTGTTTGAACAGCTGGATGAGAGGGAAAAAAGCTATACTTTGAGTGTTTCTGACTGTACGTAACGTGAACGTGTGAACAACCTTAAACAGTAAACAGAGCATCAGAGCCCGTATTTATAAAACTTCTTAGAGTGGATTTTTATACTTAAGTGCTGAAAATTTCTTAGATTTGCTCCTACTCTCAGACTTAAGTGTAAGTGCCAGTTATCAAAATTCTTAAGTCTAAGAATCACTCTTACTCTCAAGAAAAGTTCAGACTGCTCCAGAGGACTCTTAGTGGTTAAGAGTTGCCACTAGGGGTCTGAGATGGACTGAAGACAGAGATCACAGCTGTCCTCCTCCCCACCTGACTCTCAGTTATGAGGTGGAAAACAGGTTTAATCAAAAATATACAAAGCAAAGTTAAAAAAATAAATAAAATAAAAAACTGTGCATAATGTTGGACTAAAAGGTGGATATCTGTGTGTGGCTTTTGGAGAAAATATTAAATATACTCAGCTAGTGAGTGCATGTAACCCCCCCCCCCCAAAAAAAAAAAAAAAAAA